ATTTGTCCTTCCAAAGGAGAAGTCTATTTTCTAATAAATTTCTTCCTAATTACATTAGGATTTCATCATTTCTCTTGGGTTAACTGTGATTCTCCTGTCATTCTCCTAACCCTGAAAGAGGCTTGAATATGGCACTTTTTAAAAAAAAAATCTCAGGGCTAGGACGAAGGAGACGTTACTGGGGCCTGCTCAAGGCAATCAATGAATAACAGGATGGTCGTGATCGTGAACTGTAATAAAAAAGCACAGCGCATGGGCCTGCCTTGCAAGGATGAGCTCAAAGTCCCGGGGTCTCCGAAGTATTGTGTGATGCAGGCAGTTCTGTCTGTGTTTGAGCCTGGCAGCTCTGCTGCCTGCCGTTCCTTGCACAGAAAGGAATTTCCAGTTGCTCTGCAGCTAGGTGTGAACACCTCCACTGTGTGAGGGTGGGTTCAGTGAGCACTGAAACTAGAATGGTGCTCGAGCACCATGGCCCCAAAGTGTGACAGCTGGTGAACATGTGTGGGATCACTTCAGTGACCTCCTTGATTCTTCACATGCCCTGGGGAGCACCAGGAGTGGTTTCCAGGCTCACACCCCATATCTAAGGCCCCGATACATTGTTTTTGCTTTTTCTGGCCATACTCAGTAAAGCTCAGGGTTTACTCGGCCTCTCTGACTCCTGTAGTGCAAGCCATTTTCTGAGTAAAACGGGCTAAAAATCATCAGTGTTTTTAAATTTAATTTTCATAAGGCTGTAACGAGCTGAAAATGTATGATACTATAGAGGATTAGCTCAAAGCGGTTGGTGATTCCTAAGCTAAGCGTGCAATTCAATTCACAAGAAAAATACTAAAGACTTACAACAATGTGCACACAAACTTTATTCATTTGAAAACACAACCACCAATGAGGATAATGACTATGCCAACCAAAATTCCCCCAACTCCCCTGCTTTTTGGGTCACACCCAGCGATACACGGGAGTTACTCCTGGCAACGTTCGGGATCTTACCAGATCCCTGGGAATCGAATCCGGGTCGGTTGTATGCAAAATAAACACCCTATCCGCTAACCTTCAGTTGTTTTTTTTTTTTTATTTTTTTGGTCACACCTGGCGATGCACTCAGGAGAATTGAACCCGGGCCTGCCGCGTGCAAAGCAACCAAGCTGCCCACTGTACTATTGATCCAGCTCCTTATGTCTTTTTTTTTTTTTTTTTTGCTTTTTGGGAATGCACAGAAGTTCCTCCTAGCTCTGCACTCAAGAATTACCCCGGGGGTGCTCAGAAGATCACATGGGATGCTAGGAATTGAACCCGGGTCGGTCGCGTGCAAAGCAAACGCTCTACCCGCTGCGTTAACATTCCTGCAGCTCCAAACTCCTTAAGTCTTAATCTTACTTTTCCACGCCCAAAGATAGTCTCGTGAGACACGAGACCTCAAAAAATTGAGCTAAAACTCAAGACTGTTCCTCTCCACGGAAATCTTTAGTAAAAGGCGAAAGATTTATACGATCTGAAGAGAAACCAGAGTTACCCCGGGGTGGGGCTTGGAGCCACCCAGGAGAGACACAACACCCAGGTCACTTACGGTTGTTCCCTCAATGCACCGGTCGTGCTCCCTGCATGCACGACCTCGCTCGGTTCCAAGCGGCGGAGTGGTCCAGAGCAGAGGGGAAGCCCCCGGGAGCTGGGGTCCCGGCACCCGCCCGGGCCCGTCTCCCCGCGCGCACCCTGGGTATGCAAATCCGGGGCGGGGCGGGCGCAGGTGGGGGCGTGGCTCGCTGGGGTCCGCAGCGGAGGCGGGTCCCTTGCCGGGTCTGCGACGCGGATCCCCCCGCCCGAGCCCTGCCGGGAGCGATCGCCGGGCACCCTCGGGTCAGGAGTAAGCCCCGGGCACAGCCCGGGGTGGCCCCAAGACGAAGCAGACACTCAGGTCCGTCCCAGTGGGTCAGGCTTGACCCGATCAGGGTCCGAGGGAACACGGAGCAGGTGGCACGCCGTCTGTCCAGAGGCGATGGGCAACTGTCCTGGCAGAGGGAAAGTGGAGCCCTGCAGCCATGCACCTGCCCGGGGAGTGCGGGTGTCTGTGTGGAGGTGGGTCTGGTGGGCCCGGGGAGGACAGAGCCCCCGAGGGCAGGCTGGAAGGCCGAGCGCCTGGACAGGACTTGCATTTGATCTGGGCGCTGCGCTGCGGGGCAGCGCTGCAGGGAACTGAGTCAGAGGGCGGAGGAGCGCGAGGTGCCACCCAGCGCACAGGGTGGGCTGCTGCGCTGCAGCCTGGGGTCTGTCCTGGAGACCGGATGTGGTCAGTGCTTACCTAGTCATTCCTTACCGGGTGCTTACTGTTGTTCTTTTTCCTGCCCCCCCCCCCCCCACTTTTTATTTATTTATTTTTTTTGCCACACCTGACAGTGCTCTGCACTCAGGACTTACTCCCAGTGAAGCTCAGGGGACCACATGGGACGCCCTGGATTGAGCTCAGCTCCACCGTGCGCTCAAGGTAAATGCTTTCTTTCCCCACTGTGCTATCTTCTTGTGCTCAGGGCTCAGGGCTCACTCCTGATTTTGTGCCGAATACCAAGCGATTTCTTACATACATGATTTCAAATCCTGAAAGTGAGAAAAAAAACTAATCAACCCTCTACAGAATGGATTTTTTTTTTTTTTTTGCTTTTTGGGTCCAATGGAGACGTTACTGGGCCCGCTCGAGCAAATCGATGAGCAACGGGAGGGCCTTTACTTACTTTACTTTTGGGTCACACCCGGCAATGCACAGGGGCCACTCCTGGCTCTGCACTCAGGAACCACTCCTGGAAGTGCTCAGGGGACCATATGGGATGCTGGGATTCGAACCTGGGCCGGCCGCGTGCAAGGCAAACAGCCTACCCGCTGTGCTATCGCTCCAGCCCCAACAAGATGGATTCTAATCTTCCCATTTCACAGACGAAAAAATGGAGGCTCACTGAGCTTAGGTCATGTTCAGCCGGTAGGTGCACTGTGGCTGACCTCTTGTTCTGGGCCAGCCCGGCCAGCTCACCTGCCCCACCGCACCCTTCCACAGTGAGGACTGCTGGCTCATCTCCGTTCCTTGCTGTGTGCTCCCTGACTCTGGGTGTCAGCCAAAGCCGGGCACCTACTTTGGTCTGAGCTTTGTATTGGTGATTCAGTTGCATTGAGATTTTTCCTTTTTTTTTTTTTTCCCCCATCTTTTGGTCAGAATAGGAGTTTCAGTCCTTTGGCCTGGGTGGGATGGGGGGAGGAGGCCGTACTCTCAGGAGGGACTGTTCCTGGTGAGTGGGAGGTGTTGCTAGTGCCATCTGGGAGAGACCCTGCCCCACCCCTTGGGGCAAGGCTCTGCACTCTAGCGGAACCAGAATTCATTAAAATGCGTTTAAGGCTGTAAAATGGGGCTGTCTAACCTCCACAGAACACATAGCTTAAATTCACACTTTCCTTGGTTGCTGGAGGGTTGCCCTAATCCCCTGACCTCTATAAAGATGCCTCTGACGTGCTGACTACTGACTCCTGGGCCTCTGCCCTGAGGCCAGTCTGGGCACCACACTCATGAGCTAGTTAGTACCCAGACCTGTTGTCCCGTGTTGGTGCCTGACCCTTTTCCCATCCTGTCTCCAGCTCACCTCCCATTTGGGATATGGGTGTGTCCCCTGCTCATGCCCCTGGTTACTTTTGTTTTTGTTCTTTTTGGTCACACCCAGTGAAGTTTAGGAATTACTCCTGGCGGTGCTTAGGGGGTCGTATGGGATGCTAGAGATCGAACCCAGGTCTCCCACAGGCAAGGGAAGTCCCCTACTATCAGTACTATCTATCTGGTCCCTGTTTTCTGGGCCATACCTGGTGATTTGGCCGACCCGAGTTCGATTCCTCCGCCCCGCTCGGAGAGCCCGGCAAGCTACTGAGAGTATCTCGCCCACACGGCAGAGCCTGGCAAGCTACCCGTGGCGTATTTGATATGCCAAACAGAGTAACTACAAGTCTCATGATGGAGACGTTACTGGGCCCGCTTGAGCAAATCGATGAACAACGGGAGGACCGTGACCGTGACTCCTGGCACTGCTCAGAGTACCGTGCAGTGCCAGGGATTAAAGCCAGGGTTCCCGCATGCAAAGCAGGTGTTCCAGCCCATTGGGCTATCTCCCTGGCTCCTGTGCCCCGGAACTGAAGCAGGAAGGCAGAAGATGGGTGGGGGAGGTGTGTGGGAGTCTGAAGGCTCTGAATGCTGCTCGACGCCCAAACCTTTGTGTGGTGTTCTGGGTGCGTTGCTCAGACCCTGTTATCCAACATGTGACCAATAACACACTTGCTGACAGCCACTCACCTGCTGGGCATACAACAGACCGAAGTTCCCAACACTCAGCCCGGGGCCTCCGCCACTACAACCAGCCTCCCTAACCCCCCCTCCAACTCAGTCAAGAAGAAAAGAACCAAAGTCATCACTGATGAGTTTATATAGAATATATTTCATTCTTTAAAAATAAAACTTTCAGCATAGCTAACATCTATGCAGACTACAAAAATAGACATCTTTATTATAAATAATTTATGTGGTAGGGGGTGGACGGGGATACAGAGAACCAACCAGGAATCAAGGAGCAGTGGCGGGGGGGGGGGGTGCCCAGACTGGCCGAGGGTGTGAGAGGATCCCTCAGGCTTGGTCTGCCGGGGGCGGGAAGGAAGGAACATGGGGTGGGGTAACAGGGCTGTCCTGCAGCCTCAGGTGCTGGCTTCTGTCCTCTCCAGACACAGGCACATAGAGGCCCCCCTGTGCAAGGCTGTGGCCTGACTGGAGGCAGAGGTTTGGTCTGGCTCCCAGGGGGCACACGCGTGTGTGTTTGTGTGTGTGTGTGTGTGTGTGTCTGGGGGGTGGGCAGCAGACTGGGAGGGAAGCGGACAGCAGCAGCACAGCAGGACACTTCAGGGGTCCGTCCTGCATCCAGTGAGCCCTCCACGGCTTCCCTATGACTTCTGGGGGTCCCAGCAGGCCCCCTGCTTCTGTTGCTTCACCCGGTGGCTGGGCAGGGCCCCCTGGAGCTGAGGCCGCCTGGGTTGCTGGCGGCGGGCGTGGCAGCGGGGGGCCAAGCGGGCTCGTCCGGCGCCGGGTGCGTGTAGGCTCCGGGCAGCGGCGGAGGGTGCAGGGCCACGGTCATGGAGGCGGTCACTCTGGCAAAGCTCTGGGTCAGTGGCGGAGACAACCCCCACCGCAGCCCTCTGCCCTGTGGAGCCGGGGGGTTCCTCGCCTCTGGGCTCTCCTTGTACATCTGCAGCACCTGCGGGGAGTTGGGGAGGGGGACACGGGTTGCAGGCCCCTTCCCGCACCCCCATCCCTGGAGGCTCTCGGCAGGGACAGGGTCAGGGTTGGGGGGCCGAGGCGGCCGGTGGCACCTCACAGGGAGGGTCTTCAGGAGCCGAGCAGTGACTGGGGACCCCCGGAGGGCATTTTGTCCTGTCCCTTGGCTGTCCCGCCCCACCCTCTGGGTGGCGGAGGGCAGTGGGCTCACCTCTGGCGGGGGGCCCAGGATGGACAGCAGCACAGGGAGCAGCACGAGGCCATGCAGGAGCCCCAGGAGCGTGAGTACAGTAAGCACCACGAAGAAGTACCTGGGTGGGTAGAGCAGGGTGAGCGTGGGCAGCCCCCAGCCCCCGCCCCGCAGCCCTGGCGGCCCCGGGGCCCACCCACCTGACGATGAAGTCGAAGTTGGAACCGGCCAGCATGAGCAGGCCCAGCAGGGTGGAGACGGCCCCGTCGGCCACTGGGGCAAACGTATGTTCCAGGGCACGGGCAGCCCGCAGGTTCCGGTTCCCCTGGCTGGTGAGGAAGGCCTGGGGGGGAGGGGAGGTGGGCGGGGAGGCAAGGCGGTCTTAGAACTGCTGCCTCTGTCTCCAATGTGTGCTCACCGGGCCCCTGGGGTCCCTCGTGCCTTGTTGAGGACCTGCTGGTCACCAGCACTGTTTCCTTTCTTGGTTTTTGGGCCACACCCAGGGGTGCTCAGTTACTCCTGGCTCTGTGCTCAGGAATCACTCATGGGATGCAGGGGATCGAACCTGGGTCTGCGGCATCTAAGGCCGGTCAGTGCCTCGCCCGCTGTACTATCGCTCTGCCCCCCCTACTTCCTTCTTATCTATCTCTAGGTCCCTAGAACACAAGCCCCTGGAATGCAGAGCCGTCTATATTGCTGCTGCACCTCCCACTTTTCCTCTTGGGGCTAGCGACCAAGCCGAGGGTCCCACACCCGCAGAGCACGCGCCTGGTATCTGAGCCCTGGTCCCAGCCCAGTCTCAAACCGGGCCTGGCGTGCGGCCGATGCTCGACGCGGAGGCACTGGCCCTCCCTGCCCCCGGCCTGTGCTCACCAGAGCCACGTGGACGGTGAACTCCACCCCGATGCCCACCGAGGCCACGAGGATCACCACGGGGATGGCGCTCAGCTTGATGCCCAGGAAGCCCATGATGCCGAAGAGCTCCACAGTCATCATGGCCAGGACCAGCACCTGGGGAGGGCAGGGCTCAGCCAGGGCTCCTGGGAGGAGGAGGAGGAGGCGGCGGCGGCTGGGCAGGGCGGGGCGGCGGGGAGGCCCCTCCAGGGGACTCACGATGAGGCCGGCCGTCCAGGGGCTGAGCAGCAGCAGGGCGCAGACAAGGAAGGTGCACAGTAGCAGGGTGCAGACGGCCAGCAGGAAGCAGCGCCGCAGGCCCAGGTACTGCTCCCAGAAGAGGAAGGGGGAGCCGCTGGGGTAGGCGCGCACCCCGGCCCGGCCCGCCTCGGCGCACGCCGCCCGGGCCCCCTCGATGGCCTCCACGAAGTCCGCTGTGTTCTGGAGGCCGCGCAGCAGGAAGGGGAACTGGGCAAACTCCAGGGGCTGGGCCGCCGGGACTGCAGAGCGGGGCGGCAGGGAGAGGGGGGGGCGGCCGTGAGCACGGGATGCCGCGGGCAGGGTCCAGCTCCTGCTGGGCTCCCCGGCGAGGCCCCCCAGGCACTCACTCCGGAGGTTCTCCCCCGTGGTGTCGTATTTGTCGTGCAGCCACTCGGGCGGGGGCGGGTAGAAGTTGGCCTGCGAGGCGGCCAGGCCCAGAGGGTCGCTGCTCACCCACATGGTCAGGCCCACGTAGAAGAGCTCGGGCGGGATCAGCCCCTCCTTGTCCACCAGCTTCCTCCTGGTCAGCTGTGGAGGCAGCAGAGGCTGAAGCGGAGGGTCTGGAGCCCGGGGCCCCTCTGTGAGTGCTCCCCTCCCAGCCCCCGCCCAACCTGGCCGAAGTCCAGCGGCTCCTGGGCGTCCCCCGTCTGGATGAGCAGCTTGTAGGCCAGGGCCCCATCCTCCGAGCCGTTCCGGTAGGAGTGGCGGGTGATGCGCCCAGAAGCCCAGTCCTCATCGAACGCAGCCTGGATCCCTGGGGCGGAGAGAGGAGGGCGGCTATGGGGGGCACCGCGGGCCCTGCGGGTGGCGGCCGGCCGCCTCTGCGGGGCCCCCTGCCCCTTACCCTGCAGCCAGTTGCGGTAGTAGTGCAGCCAGGTGCGGGGCGCCTGGGCCGCGGGCTGCGGCAGCACGGCCTTGAGGGCACTGAAGCGCTGGTGCAGATCAAAGAGGGCACGCTGGGAGCGGGCGTAGTCGAAGCCGCCCTGCGTCACCAGCGCCACCTCGTACAGGGAGAAGTACCTGAGCTGGGCGCTCAGGAAGGCGTGCTCCTTGGTGCCCCGAGGCACCACGTCGGTCAGCGCCAGCCCGTCCTGCACCAAGGTCGCTCCATAGAGACTCAGGCCCAGGAGCGCCCCAAAGAGCACCAGCACGATGGCCTGTTGGGGACACGGGGACGGAGGCTGAGGGTGGCCCCAGCCTCCGAGCCTCGGGCCTGCTCGCCCACCCCAGGCCGCCGTCTTACCTTGGTGTGTGACTGGAGCAGCAAGGGCGCCAGCTGAGAGCGGGCAAATTGGGCCAGACTCCAGCGGGCGCATGGCAGGGGCTTGCAGGTGGCCTTCCGCCCGGTGCCCTCCTCCTGGCCCAGCAGGTCCCGAGTGGACCCTCCCGGATTGAAGAGCTCGGAGCCCAGTGGGTCGGTCGGTGGGGGCACCAGGTGGGCATGGGGAGGCAGGATGGTGACCACATGCTGGCTGCTGGCTTCACAGTGGGCAAAGGCCTGAACCGTGGCCGTCAGGTGGGCGATGCCCACGGGCACTGTCCTGTCCGCCAGCTCTTGGGGCAGGATCTGGATCACCTGGGCAGAGCAGGGGCTGGGGAGGGCAGAGAGAGGGCTGAGCGGGGTGGGGCGGGGCGGGGGTGGGGGTGCGGGGCGAGCTGGCAGGGGCCGGCGGGCGGGTGGGCGGCGGGTACCTGGAGAAGCAGCAGAGCACGTCCAGGCGCTGCGAGTGGCGCCGCTGCAGGTCCAGGCTGAGCACCGCGGGGAACACGAGCATCACGGCCGCGAAGTTGCAGCCCACCACGATGGCCGCCTGGGGGTGCAAAGGCCAGGTGAGGCCCCCACCCTCGGCGCCCACCCGGAGCCCCGCCCTGGGCAGGGGGCAGGGACCTCACCTGCAGGGAGAAGGCCCGCAGGGCTGGGATGGGGACCAGCGCGGCCATGAAGAAGGCGACGATGTTGTTGATGGAGGTGAGGGCGACGCTGGTGCCCGTGCGCTGCAGGCACTCGCCGGTGCGCTCCTGCCGGGACAGGGAGGGGCCGTGGAGGGGCGGCACAGGGCAGGGCGCGGGCATCCTCACAGCTCTAACGGCACAGGGGCGCTGATCCCCAGCCCCAGGCACCCATGCTCAGAGACTCTATTTTTTTTTTGCTTTTTGGGTCACACCAGGCGGTGCACAGGGGTTCCTCCTGGCTCTGCGCTCAGGAATTACCCCTGGCGGTGCTCGGGGGACCATATGGGGATTGAACCTTCATTGGCTGCGTGCAAGGCAAGCGCCCTCCCCCCGTATTACTGCTCTGGCCCCAGAGACCCTTTTTTTTTTTTAAAAAAAACATTTTATCTTATTTTTGCTTTTTGGGTACACCTGGTGATGCACAGGGGTTCCTCCTGGCTCTGCACTCAGGAATGACTCCTGGCGGTGCTCAGGGGACCCTATGGGATGCTGGGAATCGAACCCGGGTAGACTACATGCAAAGAAAATGCCCTACCAGCTGTGCTATCGATCCAACCTCCCTCCCCCGCTCCCTCCGCCCCCCCCACGTTTGTCTTCAAGAGCCAGTTTGGAGGTCCTGGCAGGGGAGTAGCTACTCTACACCCTCGACTGAAGGATGGCTCATGGAAGCCTCATCCTCTAGGACCCAGAGCGTAGCTTCGGGACGGCACAAGCACAGCAGTGAGGGAGGAAGGCAGCTGCCTATCAGGCCAGCTCAGCCGGATCTACCCTAGCAATGGGTGTGTGACAGAGGTCATGGCCAGATCGCCCTCTCACACCCTGGTTTTGTTTGGGGGCAACCCCAGCAGGGCCCCGAGGATGGGAGGAGGGGCGTATCTGCTCCAGGCAGTGCTGGGTTGAACCTGGTCTCCACACAGGCCAAAAGCCTGCTCTCAGCCCTCTGAGCTACATCTCTGAACCCCTCAGCTGAGCCGCCTCGAGGAGCCCAGGCTGGAGAACAGGAGCTCACCTGGAGAGGGGTGCCAGGGGGCGCCTCTGTGAAGGCGTGTGCGAGCAGGAAGATGTCATCCACACCGATGCCCAGTGCCAAGAAGGGCAGTACCTAGGGGGGGCACAGGGCGGGCAGCTGGAGGGACTGAGGCTCCCGGGCCCTGGTCTCCAAGCCTGCCCGCCGTCCTGCAGTACCTGGGTCGTGGCAGCGTTGAAGGCGATGCCAAGCAGGGCGCAGAGCCCAAGGCCCGAGGCCACTGCCAGGGCCACCAGCAGGACCCCTGCAAGGCCCACGGCCCCCTGGGACTGGGCACAGTCCCACCGCAGCATCGTCACGCAAGCGTAGGCCAGCTGTGGGGAGAGAGCAGTCCTTCCTCTGAGCGAGGTGCGCGGAAATATGTCTCGGGGGCACAGTGTGACCGCAACACCCCTGCCATCACCCCACCGCAGAGTCCCCCCTCCCCCACTGCCCACAGCCCCACCCCATCTGCCCCTTCTCCGCTGGCACAGTGGTGGGGGTCCCTGGGTGGGAACATGGTCAGGGAGGGGGAGAATGCCACGGTCCTGGCCGGGACCCACCATGAGCAGGTAGCCCCCCGCCACGCGGGCTGTGCTGACTTCCGAGAAGGCGTGCAGGATGTCGTCCAGCGTGGTGGAGGAGAAGGCATGGATCTGCTGGGACACGTTCCCAGGCAGGGCCTCCTGGGCCAGCTGCGGGGAGGGGGTGCGAGTGTGAGGGGCGGCGGGCTGAGCGGCCGCTGCAGGGGCTCCCGCCTTGCCCTCCTCCTGCTGACCTGCACGAAACGCCGCTGCCAGGTCTGCAGCACAGTGCCCGCCTGCTCCTCGCTCCAGCCGATGTCGTGCGTCTGGTAGTCGCCCCGGAAGTGCTCGTACAGCTGCCGGGGACTCATCAGCAGGAAGGTGCTCTGCAGGGCTTCTGCCCTGGGGAGGGGGCGGGGCATGAGGGCACCGAGCCGTTGGAGCCCCCGAGAGCAGGTGGGCAGGTGGGTTTCGCCAGGACGACCTGGGTCACACCCATCAACTGCCCCCTGGCGCCGTGTAATCCCATCAACGGCCAAGACCCAGAGACTATAAAATCCGGCTCCTGGAAGCACGCGGCCGCATTTGCGGCCACATGACATCTTATTCTTACTTTGGACAACCTGGCAGGCCACCGAATGTAACCTGCCCACATGGCAGAGTCTGGCAAACTCCCCATGGCGTACCCAATATGCCAAATACCAGTAACAATGATGGGTCTCATTCTCCTAACCCTGAAAGAGCCTTGAATACGACATTCTTTAAAAAATCTCAGGGCTAGGATGAAGGAGACGTTACTGGGGCCTGCTCAAGGCAATTGACGAACAACAGGATGGTCGTGATCGTGATCGTGACCTGGCATCAGTGTGAGGGGTCTGGTGGCCCCAGGAGCCGCGTGCTGACTCTCCGAGGGATCCTACCTCAGCAACTGGCCGCGGGGGTCTCTGGTCACACCCCCCAACAGCAGCTCCTCCTGCCAGTGCATGAACTTGTGCGAGAAGCCGTGGCAGCCCCCGTTCAGCTCCTGCGCTATGTTGGGAGCCTGCAGGGCAAGGGCAGGAGATGGTCAGTGGCCGTGGGGAGGGGAAGGCTGCCTGCACGGGGCTTGGCCGGCCCTCGCCGCAGATCACGAGTCTCTTGCACACTCACACCTGTGAGCTATTCTGTGAGGGGAGAGCTGGTGTTCTGCGGAGAGAGGCCCCAGAGGGAGCAGAGGCCTGGGAACAGATGTAGGGAGCGGCCGGCAGGCCTGATGGGTGTTGGGAAAAGAGTTCATAGAAACTCAGAGTTCATACAAACAGGAAACTCGGCACACTGGTGCGGAACTGACTTGGAGTTTCTCTGTTGGAGTCCGTTTCAATCAAGGCCAGCCCTGCCTGGGTTTAGAACAAGAAAAAGGGATCGTATGCCACTGGGGATGTTCCTTAGAACTAAATGGGAATGGGACATGCGGAACATGCTGGAACAGTGGGGGCAGGGTAACAGTGTCCAGGAAGTGCGGCTGGGGCCCAGAGCCTGGAGCACGACCAACGGAGAGCCTACAGGAGGAGGAGACTGCTCAGGAAAGGGGTCCGTGCCCAGCGGCCTTGGCTGGAACTCACCTGTCTGCTCTGATGGTTCGGGGCGCTTGGCGGGCAGTGGAGGTCATCAGGGTGCAAGCAGGGTCGCCCCACGTAGGCCTGGCCCACCTGTGCCTTGTCAAGCAGCTCCCGGAAGCCCTCCAGGGAGGCAAAGGGGCCCAGCTCCTCCAGCAGCTGCTCAGGATCCAGGTTGGTCCACTGGATGTCAGGCCGGCCCCTGAGCGGGGGAGTCAGGGTTGGTGGAGGCCAGAGGTGGGTTCCCACCCTCCACAGTGCTCCTCTAGGACCTGGGTAGGACCCCAGCCGCTTCCTAGCTGGCTCCACTAGTGCCGCCCCGTGGAGGGGTGGAGGCTGCTGAGCTGTGGGGGAGGACGCGGGGGCTGAAGAAGCACAGAGCCAAGGCCCAGAGAGCGCGGACACAGCCACGTGGGCATCAGCCAGGGGCAGCCCCCTAGTCTGGATCCAACTGTGCTCAAGGCTGACTCCTGGGTCTGCGCTCAGGAATCACTCCTGTTGGATTGGGGGGACCCGGGATCAAACCCCGGTCAGCTGCGTGCCAGGCAAGCTCCCTGCCCCTTGTGTGATGGCTCCAGCCTTGTGATCTCCCTCCCTTCCTTCCTTCCTTCCTTCCTTCCTTCCTTCCTTCCTTCCTTCCTCCCTCTTTCTTTCCTTCCTTCCTTCCTTCCTTCCTTCCTTCCTTCCTTCCTTCTTTCCTTTCTCCCTCCCTCCCTCCCTCCCTCCTTCCTTCCTTCCTTCCTCCCTCCCTCCCTCCCTCCTTCCTTCCTTCCCTCCCTCCCTCCCTCCCTCTTTCCTTCCTTCCTTCCTTCCTTCCTTCCTCCCTCCCTCCCTCCTTCCTTCCTTCCCTCCCTCCCTCCCTCCCTCCCTCTTTCCTTCCTTCCTTCCTTCCTTCCTCCCTCCCTCCCTCCCTCCCTCCCTCCCTCCTTCCTTCCTTCCTCCCTCCCTCCCTCCCTCTTTCCTTCCTTCCTTCCTCCATCCCTCCCTCCCTCCCTCCCTCCCTCCCTCCCTCCCTCCTTCCTTCCTTCCTTCCTTCCTTCCTTCCTTCCTTCCTTCCTTCCTTCCTTCCTTCCTTCCCTCCTTCCCGCTGGACTATCGCTCCAGCCCCCTGCCTGCTCTATCTTTGGAAGCAAGGAAAAGGGCGATCCGGGGAGATCCCTCGCCTGGGTGGCCATGAGGTCTGGGTGAGGTTGGATCTCTTTCACTGACACCTTGCCAGCTTTGGGGTACTCCCTCCCTCCCTCCCTCCCTCCCTCCCTCCCTCCCTATTTTTAAGCAACACCAGGCAGTGCTCAGGGGTCCCTCCTGGCTCTGCACTCAGGAATTACTCCTCGCAGTGCTTGGGGTACCGTATGAGATGCCGGGGATGGAAGCCAGGTTGGCCGTGTGCAAGGCAGGCGCCCTACCCACTCGACTATCGCTCCAGCCCCCGGCCTGCTCTTTCTTTGGAAGCAAGGAAAAGGGGGATCTGGAGAGATCCCTCGCCTGATTGGGCGGCCATGAGGTCTGGGGGAGGTTGGATCTCTCTCACTGACACCCTGCCAGCTTTGGGGTACTCACGGCAAGTAGGCAGAGCCCCCTTGGAGCTTGGCTCCCTCCCAGAAGCAGTCAAGGGGGGTGAGGATCACACATGGAAACAGCTTCTCAATCATCTGCCAGGAACACCCCAGGCCCCGGTCAGTCCTGGGTCCCCTCACCTGCCCTCAGCAAACCTCTCCCCACTCCCGATCTCCTGATGTTTAGCCTCCCCCCACCCCAACACACACACACACACACACACACACACACACACACACACACACACACAGCCCTTCCCCACTGCACAGAGGTTCAACCTCCCCCCAGGCTCAGAGCCCCTCATGAGACTTACCCGCTCAATCATGCCGTTTTCAATAAGGGGAACTCCGGACTTATAGCAGATTTTGTTCAGATCCCAGGACCTGCAAAAGCCAGGGGCACAGGGCTCAGCGGGAGAGGGGTGCCCCGTCCCCGCCCGGCCGCTGCAGGCCTCCCTCTCAGCTGCTCAGGGGCTCAGCCGCACTCACTTTCCATAGAGTGATACTTGTACTTTACTGGCCGTGAGGGCTGCCTGGAGGTGGAGGCTGAGAGCCTCTGGTGTGAGGACGTTCTCCCCCTCCTGGCGTGGGGTCTGAATCAGCATCTGGGACGTGTACGCAGCCTCCTCCCCCAGCTTCTCCTTGGTGTAATGCAGTTCCTGGCTCACGCGGCTGCCCACTGCCAGAGCAGAGAGAACAAGCTGGGGGGGAGAGAGCCTCAGTGGATCAGGGCCTGGGGGACAGGCCCCTGCCACACCTCTCAGGAGTCGGCCCCCCCTGCTCCCCAACACCCCACCGGGCCCCCCAGATCCTCTTCTCAGAATCTGGGACTCGGGGCTGGAGCGATAGCACGGCGGGGAGGGCGTTTGCCTTGTACGTGGCTGACCCAAGTTCGATTCCCAGCATCCCATCTGGTCCCCCGAGCACCACCAGGAGTAATTCCTGAGTGCATGAGCCAGGAGTAACCCCTGAGCATCGCCGGGTGTGACCCAAACAGCCAAAAAAAAAAAAATCTGGGACTCTGCCAGGGCACTGGAGCCGCCTTCCCCTGCTGTTTCAGGGCCACACCTGCAGGTGCTCAGGATCTACCCTGGGCTCTGTGGTTTGGGGGCCACATGCGGTGCTGGGGATCAAACTTGGGCCTCCTGCACCCAGAGCATGTCCTTGGCCCCTCGAGCTCCCTCTCCGCCCTCTGTGCGCTTCCCGTGCTATCAAGGGTTTAAGCAGTAACCAGGTAAACTAGTAAAAGTAGTAAGTAAAGGCCCTCCCGTTGATCATCGATTTGCTCGAGCGGGCCCAGTAACGTCTCCATTGGAGACTTTGTTGTTACTGTGTTTGGCATATCGAATACGTCACGGGGAGCTTGCCAGGCTCTGCCGTGCGGGCGAGATACTCTCGGTAGCTTGCCGGGCTCTCCGAGAGGGGCGGAGGAATCGAACTCGGGTCGGCCATGTTGGCTGCGTGCAAGGCAAACGCCCTACTGCTGTGCTATCGCTCCAGCCCAGGTAATCTAGATTCGGGGCAAATAACCTAAAAATGAGATGGGCATGAACTGAGGTGGGGTGTGCTGGCAAGGGAGGCTCGATCAGTGCCTCTCTGCTCGGCGGGAGGACCACCGGGGCTAAAGGGACCACCGGGAGAACCCCCTGAAATAGGTGAGAGATGGGGTTACTGCAGACGAGACTAATGTCTACCACGCTTCTTCTGCAGAGGGGAAGGGTTGTGAGTGTCCGTGGGTCTGTGGGGCACAGTTCTGAGAGGCTCCATCTGTCGGTGTGACACTGTCTACACCACTTTGGGACAAAGCTCATGTGCCTGGCTGAGGTCGCCCATCTCCTTGTCCAGCACCTAAGTCCCAGCACGAGGCCTGCGTGTGTCTCTGTCACCCGGTGCCCTTGTCCCTGCATTAGGTGGGCCAGAGTGAAGCTCAGGAACCGGGGCTGTGGAGGCTTAGAGGAGGGCACAGGCCTGCGTCCCACCCCCCTGCGGGTTCTGTATGCCCGCCTGATGTCCAGTTCTGCTTCTACCTGTCTGGGCCTCTTCTGGGGGTCAGTGCCACCTGTGGTCCCCATGTCTGGCTTCATTGGAACCTTCATGCACCCAAATCTCTTTGTTTCAGTTTGCCACGCTGGGGATGAAACCCAGGGCCTCACCCACATGTGGAAGAACACTGGCCACATCCCTGGTTACTGATCTCTTTTGCGAGAGATCAATGATCCTCTCCTCACCTATGAGAGACCCAAACTCTTAGTAGCCTTCAACAGACTGAGCCAATCTGTTCACCCGTCGTCCCCAGCCACATCGTGCTTTGGTTTATGGGCCATCTGAACAGCACTGAGGGCTGACTCCTGGCTCTGTGCTCAGGGTTTCCTCACGGGGGGATCAGGGAACTACCCTGAGTGCTGGGGGACGGTTGGCTGCATGTGAGTCCAACACCTGCCCCGCTGTACAATCCACTCCAGCCCCCAGCCACATTCTGGTCTTCCCTCATGAATGATCTCATCCGGCCACCCCGCACTCCATGGGCACATTCTAAATATATATATATTTTTAATTTTTGGGTCATACCCAGCGATGCACAGGGGTTACTCCTGGCTCTGCACTCAGGAGTTATTCCTGGCGGTGCTCGGGGGACCATATGGGATGCTGGGAATCGAACCCGGGTCGGCCGCAGGCAAGGCAAACCATGGGCACATTCTATCTCTTTTTCCTTTTGGTGTTTGGGCCACACCTGCCAATGGCCGGGGGTTACTCCTGGCTCTGCACTTAGGAATTACTCCTGGCGGTGCTGGGGGATCATATGAGATGCCGGTGCTAGAACCCGGGTCAGCCGTGTGCAAGACTGGCACCCTACCTGCTGGACTCTAGCTCCAGCCCCAAGAGGAACATACACACATTCCACCTCCTGGTCTCCTGACTCCAGCCCTTCCCGGGCGGGCACTGTGCTGCTGATTTCACCAGGCTGAGGCCACAGCTGCCACAGGGGAGAGGGGAGCAGGCAGATAAGCTCTTCTGAGTGAGTTTCCCGACGAGGAGAGAGGAGTGGGGGGGGGGCAGGGGAGAAGGAGGGAACCCAGAGCGTGACTGAGAAAGCAAGAGAAACATTGACCTTCCAAGATGCAGCGCTAGGGCCTGGAGCTGTGGAGGCTCCGTGTAAAGGCCCTACTCTGCCACAGTGAGGCCCCAGTTTTGACCCGTGGCACCTTCCCCCACCCCTGCCAAAGATATTATCTCAGTGGTAGAGCTCTCAGGGCCCTGGGGGCCATCCTTTGCACCAAGAGGGGGAGGGGAACATCACGGAGAGTCAAGACTCCTCAGAAAAAATCACGAGAAAAAGAGAAGTCTGGGATGACAGAAGATCTAAGGAGGAAGGGGCGGAGATGCTGGCGGGAAGGGGCAGCGGGTGGAAGGGACAGTTCAAGGTTCTTACGGACTCTGCCTGGACACTTGTCTGTGCCGGGGACAAATTCTTTGCTCTCTCTAACCCTCAGCTTCCATCTGTAAAATGGGAACAATACCTACTTTGGCAGAATTAGAATCATCGTTGGCCAAAAAGTACTTAGGGAATTTCCCAGGACCAAACAGGCGCAGTTATTATTCAACGGCTGTCGGGAGAGAAGTGATGTAACAGAAAATCGAGAACTAGAGGGAAAAAGACTGAAGGTGGGAAAGGAAACAGAACAGCAATTCAAGCATTTTCTTTTTTTCCGCTTTGCTCTGCGTTGCTTTGTGTTTTTTTTGGTTTCTGGGGCCATACCGAAACCACAAGGAGTTGGGAGCCTCTTGCATGAGCAATGTTTATGGAGCCCGACCCATTCTGGGGCTCTTGCTTGTAAAGAGTATGCTTGAGCCCTTGGCTGATTTCCCCAGTTCCTCGATACGTTTGCTAAAAAACTCCGGTGTGATTTTACAAAAGGGAAAACAGAACTGGTTAAGAACATGGAGGAGACAGACATCGAAAGACTGCACTCATCTGTGGAATAGAAAGTAACAGGAAGGGAGACTCACCCCCAAGCAGAGTAGAGATGAGCACCAGGAAGATTGCTCCCCGGCTTGGAAGCCGGTCTCACTCGCTGGGGGACAAGGCAGCTCAGACAGATAAGGGACCACCAAGTAAAGGGTGCTGGGGGGGCCCACTCGGGATGGGAGATGTGTTCTGAAAACAGACTAGAGACCGAACATGAGGGCCACTCAACAGCGTTGTTGCAAACCACAACACCCCACCGGAGAGAGAGAGAGCAAAAGGGTATGGCCTGCCACAGAAGCGGGGCGGGGTGGGGAGATGAGGTGGGGGTTGGGGGGGGTGTGCACTGGGATCATTGGTGGTGGAGAACGGGCATTGGTGGAGGGATGGGTACTGAGCACTGTAGGACTGAGATGTAACCACGGAAGTTTGTAAGTCTGTAACTGCACCTCACGGGGATCCATTACTAAAAATAAAAAATCAAAAGACATTTAAGCAACCTCCTACGCTATAGAGATCCTCATTCTAATTTTGCTATCAACAAGTGGCAACTGAGGAGATCTTTGGAGACTGTGTAAATATTTTGTTGCTCCCTATATTTTCCCATTAGTTTTACCACATAATGATGATTTGTACTTAAAATAATTATTGCTGTGGATATTGCCCAATGGTGATTTTCTTATTGCTTCTGTGTCTGTTAATGTAATTGTTTTAAGTAACATTTGCGAGCAAATAGAGTGACATTTATCTAAAAAAAAGAATGACATGGAGAAGTAATTCCATCCTATAGGTAATTTAATTTGCACTTAAAAAAGCAATTGGAGCGGCTGGAGCGATAGCACAGTGGGTAGGGCGTTTGCCTTGCATGCGACCGACCCGGGTTCGGTTCCCAGCATCCCGTATGGTCCCCTGAGCACCGCCAGGAGTAATTCCTGAGTGCAGAGCCAGGAGTAACTCCTGAGCATTGCCAGGTGTGATCCAAAAAAAAAAGAAGAAAAAAAAAAAGCAATTGGAAATGAAAAAAAAAAGTAAGGTGGAGTCCATGCCCAATTCAATCAGCTAATCAGTGACTGAATAAATAGCAGTACTCTTACATAAAAAAAAAATAATAAAATAAAAGCAATCGGTCATCATCTATCAAATTAGCAAACATTAAAAAATTGGTAGCACTGGGACAGAGCTATAGCTCAGCAGTAAAATTCTTTTTTTATTTTCCCCCAGTGAAGTTCTTGCCTTACATGTGAGAGGTTCTAGGTTTGGCATCATAAAAAAAGAAGAGAAAAAAAAAAAAACAACCCAAACCTGGTGGCACCAGTGGCAGCACGCAGGAGTGCACACAGATCTACTGTGAGAATAGGGCTTGGTACAGTTCAGGGCATGGTGGGGAGTGTGGTTTGGATCAAGACCCTCAGTAATATGTCTCGTCTTTGTTCTGGAAACTTCACAATGGAGGAAGGGTCTGGGAGTTCCTGACTTCTGGGGCTCCTCTGAGCGAGTGGGAGACAAGCTGGGGGTGAGCCCAGTTAGAGGACCCGACGTGTTCCTCCCTAACTGTGCTCTGAGCCGGGGATGAATGGAGTTGGTCAGGGAGAGAACACATGGCTCCTCTCAGATCTGCCTCACTTTCAGCCCAGATTGCTCTTCTTCCTATCGCTTTCCTAAGGACCCTTGATGCTCTGTTAGGTCCCCCCCACCTTCTCTCTTCGTGCAAAGGA